CCTTCAGGTTGCATCTCACTGTGTTCCCTTTTACCAAGACAAAACCTGGCATCCGTACTTCACCATGGTGGTGGGTTAGCCTAGTCCAGCAGGCAAACTCTCATCCAGGCACTTACTGGCTTCTTCCACCTCAGCTACAGAAAGTAGAGAACACCAAGGAGCAAGAAAGCTCATAAGCTGAGATAAGACAGAAAGATTGCTTACCAAGTACCATCATGGGCAAAATAGATTTATCCTGTGGAAAATCAACTGAGTCTAATGCCAGTCAAGGTAGATACCTGCTAGTTCAAGTGGTGGGCAAAAAAAGAACAGGTATTCAAATAGCACCTTCTCATGCCTTTTTCCAGGCTATATATCACTTCTGAATCTCCCCAGCCTAAGCAGCACAGGAGCAGCTCCTCTCTCCTTCTCCTTCCTTCTCACTCTTTGTGCCTGCTGTACCCTAGGTCGTCTCCACAGGCTGCATTTCCCTCAGGAGTATCTGCCTGCTCCATGGGCTGCAGTGTGGGTAACTGCTCCACCGTGGACAGTTTTCTCCTCTCACTTCTCTTCCTCTCTCACCTGTTTTTCCTGTGCAGTTTCTCACTCCTTTTGTTCTCTTCTCCTCTTTCCCTGCAGCCTTTTCTGCCCTTGGATCTGTCTTCATGGAGGCACCACTGTCGTGGCTGGCGGGCCCAGCCGTCACTGCGGTGGGTCCATCGGAGCTGGCTGGAGCTCAGCGTGTCTGGCAGGGCACAGCCCCTGGTGTCCCCTGGCTGAGGCCCCTGCAGTCCTGGCTGCTGGTGCCTAGGCACTGACACTGAAACCTGCTCTGTAGTTTCTTTTGTCTTTGAGTAGATACTCAAATGTTTTGGTTGACAGCCATGCCATCCTCTTCTGAGTTAGGCAGGCAGAGTCCTCCAGAGAATCTGGCAGGTCCCAAACAAGCTGTAAGTTGCTGCAGATAATTGACAGATTATTTTTCTTCGGAGTCAAGATGGTGGGTGACTTTTAAAGGATCAGAGTGGTATTTGAAAGCCAATGGCTTGGAAAGGATTTATGGATCAGATGCTGGAGGAGGGTTAAGAGGGGTCAGTGAAGCATATAGTGAAGAGGAGACAGGACAAGGTGGAGACGAAAATGTATAGGAAATCAGGGTTTCTGTTCCTGCTGCCTGAGTCGGGAAATACGAGCCATGATTATTGCCTTTGGCAGAGGCAGCAGAAGCAGCTGTTCAGCCTAGCCTGAGCCCAGCCCCATCCTCACTGATGACAGAGGAAGAATATGCAGGATATTTTTCTGAGTATTATTGAGACTCATGACATAATATGGTGTAGCTTGAAAAGTTCATCAGAAAATTCTGATGATCCTGACAATTAGAGCTGATAAATTCAGTAAATGTCAGAATGAGCAATCATTGTCAATACCTTATATGGTGGAACAGGCAGAGATGCAGCATTTCCATAACAAATTTAACTCCTGTTTTCATTATGTGACTTTTACAAAATTAAAGCCCCATATTTTCCTCTAAACAAGTTGTACTTGTTCGTTGCAGCACAAAATAGTTTTCAGTTGATTTACAGGTAAATATTTTATATTTGCACATAGATGGCATGGAAAATATAACCTGAAAAAGAAAAAAAAAATAAACCTGTGATTGAAAGTAATTACAGTGGGATAATGTGTGCATGTATCTTCAACTCGAGCAATAGCCAACTATCATAGGTTTTGTGATGGCAGAAATCTCTAATCAGAAACAACAGGCACATTCTGTGTCTTTGTTTGCAAACATACAATATCCAAAGAGCACTGATAAACATCAGTAGAGGTTTGATCATGACTCATTAGAGCTTGTTCCTTCGGTCTCTTAAGACACAAAGGTTCTTGTTTGTTGCATAGAATTGGTTGCTTTTCAATTAGCTTTTGAAATATGATTGCCCCTGTATTTCCAAAATGTGGTATGCCTGTCTACCACAGAAAATGTCTCAGGGAAAAACAGACATGGAAAAAGCTAATCCTTGAGGCACATGAAGACTCTCCTGCAGTTATTTCTAGAACTTGGTAATTGAGATAATACTGGGTATTCGTCACTAATAAAAATGGATGCATTTCCGTTAGATGAGTGAAATTATCCTGATTTAATTAGGTAGTGATCTGGCTGGTGCATGTTTACAGCCTTTATCCAATTTGCTAGCAAAGGTTAGTATCTTCTGATATTAGTTACAGTGTCAAAGAAAGCACAGATCCCAGACCCTGCCTTATGTTTCTTGCAAGTGCCTGACCAAGTCAATGAAATAATTCTCCAAAAGCAAGGACTAATGGTTTTGGACTAAGCTTGCATGCAGCACAATATTTTAAGCTGCTGCATTTGTTATTCTTTATTTGAAGTTCATAATAATAAGCCTATGTTGTGATTTTGGCTTCTGCTCTAACTTGCTGAGAATCTAAAAACAGGGAATCGCAAATAGCAAACAGTCTTTTTACATCCAAGTGCCCTTCTTTACACACATAAAACTCTGGGCTGTTCTTCCAGATAGTATTGAACGAAATCTGTTACAGAAAGTAATAAGTGTAATGAACAGTCCAACCTGAATAGTGGAAAACAGCTTATATGGACCAACCCTGAATTTCCTGGAAGAGGAGATATGGCGCTTTTCCCCCTCCTGTTGCTCTTCTTCTTTCTAACACCTTTTAAATTTACACTTTCCCAGTTCACTCTTCTGCAGCATGTTTTATTTCTTGTGTGTGAAGAGAACTTCTGTAAATGATATTCATCTTTTGAGTCCGATGGATAGAGGGGATGATATACCAGTTTCCATTTTCAAATACTTTCCTTTTTTACCTGTGGCTGGAAGAAGACTCTGAATTTAGAACCTGAAGATATCGCTTGTATCTTGAAATGAGCAGAGCAGAATTGTGTTATGCTGAGCTTGAGGAAGAAAATTGAAACAAAACCAGCATCAGTTGTTGGAAAAAAAATATTCTTGATATGTTTGGTAACTGCCTGCCTGAATGAGTTTACAGAGTTGACAAATGAATAGGATACATAAATGTCACCAGAAAGGGACTTGCCAGGGTGTACTGACTAATACTTCAGTTCTTTAAATAATTTTCTTATTTGATACTATGTCATCTTGGAATAAAAAAGAAAAAAATTGGCCCAAATTCAGTGAAACAACTAAGTACATATTTAAAATAACCATATGCCTAAATGTTGTTGGCATGTTCTTCATGTCTGCAAGACTGATCCAAAGCCTTTTGGGATTTGGTAAAAGTTAAAATGGTACAGAGTGACCAGATATTACATACATTAATTCTATTGATGACTGAAACCTGCAGAACTGTAGCCCAAGTTCTTACAAATTTCTGAACTGCAAAAAAAAATCCGTGTATAAATACAGGAGGATTCAATATGGTTTGTGTATTTCTTTTGAAATCCTAACCATATTATACTGGTTGTCAAAATTATCAGTTCCCAGTTTTTTTCTTGGGAAGCAAAGGAAATAAAAGGCATCAGCTAGCAGGAAATGGAGTTCTCAGTTCACCACCTTCCTTCAGAGGTGGTAATAATTTAATACTGTCACAGCATCCATAATTTAATGGTAAAATCTCCGTAATTGGAGTCTTCAAATAAAAGCTGATTGCTTTATGAGCTGGCTGTATACAGAAATGGCCTTGTTTTATCAGAGGTCAGGTGAGAGCTTCCAAATTTAATATCTGTATGTTATGTAATATTTTCTCTATTAATGATCAGGAAACATTACAAGAAAGGAATAGCATTGTATTAAATTACTTAGCAATGTCTCTAAAGCCTACCTTAAAAATGCATCCAACTTAACCAATGTTACCAAGCTGAATGTTTTGAGTTATTTTTACACCCATGCTCAGATATAATTCCTTTCAGTAGTGTGCTTTCAATATTTACTTGCAACATGCCCAAGTCCATAGAGAAGAACAAAAGCAACCAACCTCAAGTTATCCTTCTTCTCTTTTTTTTTACATGCCATGCCTTTCTCCAAGGTCGTTTTGGTTGCTAACAACAGGACACCCTGCTGCATGGTTTATGGAAAAGGCATATGACACCAGCATATACAGAACTGCAGTTTCATGAGCTCAAGTCAGTTGCATGCAGAAAATAAACTTCTTTGTCCATTTCTTTTTCTTTCTTATTGCAGCATCTTCTTGTAACTGTCTGTTCTGCAAATATAATTTTCAAGTTGACAGTATCCTTCTAATTTGGAATGCAGGGGATTTCTAGTATTTGGTTTTGAGTTTGCTGGTTCATTCTTTTCACATTACTAAGATTGTCAAAACATGAGTACAGATAAAATAGTTGCTTCAGCTGTGGAAATGTCATGGAAGATTGTATCACTATAACAAAACAGAAAGAAGAATCAGAATTATGATTATTACACTGTTTTAGCGCTAAACTTTCATCTAAAGGTAATTTCTGTCCTGGTCAGTAAATTCTATACAACAGGTTTTGCCAAGTGAAGCTTTTCCCTCTATAATATTAAATCAAATTAAATTTACCATTTAAACAGTTTTTCTGTTTGAAACAGGTCCTTGTGCCTGTTAAAATGAGTGATAAAATTTCACTTCACCATGGCAGGGCAAAGCATAAGCTGGTGAGAATACAAAGTGGCATGTGGTTTAAAGTTAAGAGCAAAAAAACTGCTATGTATTTTTCTTACTTGGACAGCATTCTCTTGAAGTTGTCCAGGGATTTAGAAACATACTTTTGCTATTTGTTAAGTATATTGATTAATCTTTATACTACTGTTAATCAGCCTCAGATAATTCAACTAGAAACCATACATTAACTCAATGAGGGCATTGGTTCAATTCCATTCATTCTAGCAACATCCTGTCCATTTTATATTAATAGTTGGTTTTATCTCCTGTGCACATATTTAAGTCAATATTTATTAAATTAGTTTTTCAGGTTATAACAAGTGATTTACTTGCTTGCCTGCCACCTTGTTTTGATAACTGCATATTGATTTCTTCTTTGTATATAGGATATGATGCTTCAGCTGTTTCGGGGACTGGATTTTCTGCATTCACATCGAGTGGTGCATCGGGATCTGAAACCCCAAAATATCCTTGTAACCAGCAACGGGCAGATAAAGCTAGCTGACTTTGGCCTTGCACGAATCTACAGTTTTCAGATGGCTCTTACCTCAGTGGTAAGTTTCTGAAGGCTTTTATTTTTCTGTTAGCGTAGCAGTGTGAACCATGTCTGCAGCTGAAGTTACTGGTGTCTCTGAAAACAATTGCTTTCCAGCCAGGACTGAACTTGCGGTGATTACGTTGTAATCAATAATCACTTGTTGACTACTGGCTTTAATTCCATCGTGACTAATTACAGAGGAATAAGTATGTGTTAGTTTTCTGAAACTCCCATCTGTTAAGCTTCTGTAGTGATACTGACTTCCTGTGTAAATTAAGTCAGACAGGTTGATTAAAGTTTCTGAAGTATCCATTTTAACATAAAGCTCTTGCTGAATCCCAGGTATTTTGTCTGAAAGAACTCCACAATAGTTGTGAAAATGCCACACCATCGTGCTCTGATTTTCCACCTCTGTGAATATGCATTCAATGCTCCCTTCCATATGTTATTGAATGATTCTAAATAAGATTGTGGTGGAGGAAGCTCAAGTGGTCCTGGCAGCCAAAATCACAGCTGTTTCCAAAGCCAGATGTTAAAGAGGACCCCCAGTATCATCAGGTCTCCTGCCACTGTTGCCCCTCTCCCACCAGCTCTCCTGGATGTCCTTGGCTCAGACATGAGCTCACTTGCAGATTTAGCTCTCTCCTCCATTAATGCTGGAGAAACCCTGCCAGCTCCTTGCTTTTTGACCCCATTTCCACGCTTGCTGGCCCTGCCCCCAGAATCAGCTGCTGTAGCTTGGCACAGCATCTCTGGAGCATATTGAGCTGCCATGCTGTGTGCATGTTGGGTATCTTTCAGGTTTGTTGCCTGCTCATGATTTTTTTTTGTTTCCTTTTTCTATTCTGAGTATCCCAACTGCCATGACAGTGACTCTGACTATAAAGACAGAAAAGGCAGAACTGCTGAAAAGAGAAACTGAAAGGATCCACTTTGCATTTTACACCATACTGTAAAAAATACCTGGCTCATGTTGATGAGAAGCAATCCGTTCTCATTGTTAGTTTGTGCAAGGGTCTCCCATTGTCATGTGATGTAACTGTGGACATCTAGCTTCAGAGTGAACGAAGGCAGGAAGCAACAGAAAATTACGTCATCTTGCTAAACATAGGAAAGTATCCTGGTCACATAAAACGTATGTAAACCTGTGGTTTAGGGCTAAGTTTTCTTCATTGCCTGTAGGATGTAGTCTAATCCAAAGATGAAAGAATCTGGATACTGGGAAGATTGGTCATGTAACTCAAAGCAGAAGAAAAGGAGAGAAAGGTTCTTTCTGAACTGCTCTTATTTTGTTTCCCAGCTACCAGTCAGTAGCAGCTTTAATGAGTGTTTCTGTTGATGCATGAAATCATTTAAGCTAAAACTGCAGAATGCTACAAGGTTTTCAGCCGGACATTTTTGAAAAGTTCTGCATTGAAATGAAGAAAAAATACATACAAAACTGAGCAGGAGTTTTTCCATGACCATGTAGCCTTCTTAGGAAGGAAGTTTAAAACACTCAGAAATCTACCACAACAAAAGAGAATGCTGTCAGGATTACTTTGTAAAGTATGCACATTTGCTCAGATATCTTAATACTTGAATGCTAGAAATCGTGTTAAAACCCATGGGCTGGTACTCTTGATGCTGCTGTGAACAAGAGATGTTCAGCCTAAGGGATTATCCACATGCAGTTTTGTACTGTGTTCAGATAAGCATCCAAGTGTCATCGCAGCTAAGCTAAAGAATATTGAAATAGTTTAATTATTCTGTGATCAGGGATAAATCAAGTATATGGGCATAGATGTAAGTAAAAAAAAGACAAAACCAGCTATGACATTGGTCTTCTTAAATTAAAAAATTAATAGTTTAAAAGGTTAGTTAAAAGTTAATAAGTATTTTAAAACAGTTTCCAACATCTTGGAAATAAACTTGTGTCTGAGTATGTAGGAAACTATAGAGGTGTGTTGCTTAGAATGTGATAAATGTGTTATGGTTTTAAATGTCAATCTTCACTGCTCCTCTGCAAAGTGATTGCAGGTAAGAAACTTTTATTAAATGTGTTTTAGCTGCCAGTTTTCCTTTTCTGGTTTTAACTTCCTCCTTTGGCTAGTAGCTTAGGTGTGCAAATGCTGCTTTGTTTTTACCTCCATTGAAACTTAGTACAGGAAACACAGCTAAACAAAACAGCTCCAAACCCCTAAACTTCTGGTTTTTAAACATAAAGACATTTTTGACTTTGCTATCCCAAAAATGGTCTAAATTGCAGTTATTCACCAGGGAGGCAGTGAACGTTCATGGACTTCAGCAAGACCAGCTTGTTTTGAAGCGTTTGCAGGAAAAAAAAGTGTGTTGTATTATAAAAGACAGAATATACCTATGCATATTTCAATTAATAAAAGTCACAGCTTGCAAAGATTTGCTTTAGATAGTGATAGTGCAGACAGCCCAGTGATAAAAGACTATCATTGTGATCAATACAAGGGCTGTGCAGCGTTTCCTTCAGAGGAGAAGCTTACTGCAAGATAAACTACAAGAATCATCTTTTGAAGTATCAGACCATTCCCAAGATGCATCCTCATTCATTGCTCACAAAGAAACTCTTTAGATGAGACAAAAAGAGCTTGCCATGAAAGTAGCCCAGTAAAAACTGATCCAGCCCAAGTGCTGTGGGTGCAGCAAATGGTAACTTCAAAGTAGTCTCTCTCTCTAACAGCTGGTTGTTTACACAATGCTGAAGAATCCTTCTGGCAGATCGGTAGTCCAAGCATATTGCTGTCATTTAAAGAAACCTCTTGATATTTTTGTCAGTGAATGAATGAATGAATAAAAGATTGAAACTAAGGCTACACAGGCTGGGGAGGCAGGGTGGAGATCACTGCTCCCAGCTGTGTTCAGACTGAGACCTGATAGGAGTCTGAAATAACAGCACTAGGAAGAATGAGGTTGGGCGGGGGTGTCTGAGCTGGTGGGTTACAGGGCACACTTTTGGTTTTGTGCAGTTACACTCTTTTCCAAGTGTTGGTCTTGGCCCTTGGGGAAATTCTGAATGGCCTTGTGATAACAGAGAAGCTCCATACGACAGAGGAGGTAGGTTGATGTGACTGCAATTTTAGAGTTGGATAGCAAAAGCTAATGAACTGTCACATTTTTCCTGGTGCAGAAAAATGGATCTAACTTCTCTGAGCAAAGGAGCAGTTGGGTGTCTGGGAAATCTGAAGTTGTCTTATCAAAAAGGAATAATCCATTTATCTATTTCTGATGACTTTTGACTGAATTAAAGAAAGGAAATGAAGCTGAATCATGGTATATAGGAATGTTAAGTGAGATAAGTGCATGCAGTTGTGACCAGAGCATCTAGGTGGAGCTGAGGCTATCCAGCTCTTAAAACCTGCTCTGTATCAGGATCTTGAGTGAAACTGGCAAAATGTTAGTGTTTGTAACACACTTACAATACTTTCTTTGAAAACATGCATGCTTTACCTTAGATGTCAGCACACTGGGGTTTTTTTTCCCCATAAAATGCCAAGAAAATTGGTTTATGTATTCTTTTTAAAGAAACCAACTTGTTTTCAGACTTACCCAACACAGAAGGGAAAACGCATCACTTTTTCTGCTGATGCTGTAGGTTGTTGCATACTAGACCCAACTAAATAGATTTTCTGAAAAGAGAGGACACAAAATATTCTTCAGTTCTTTTCAGTAAATAATTTTAGACTATGCTAGCATTTTATTTGCGTATTTCTTCAGGATAAAAACTTTCCATCCATTTCTGGCAGTCACTTCAGTGCAAATGGTTTACATGTCACATCATGCAAGAACTTGGATTTAATTTTGTTGGTATAGTAGCAAGGGAGCATAAAATAATTTTCACTAACAGGGCTTACTTTGTAAAAACAAATATATAAGTTAGTTACAGCAACAAACCCAAAAAATGACAGAATAACTCTCTTCCAAAGAGGAACGAGTACTTCTGTGTTTCCTGCCCACTGGTGCATTGTAATTTTCCGGTAAATGCTCTCCATTAGTAAATAATGTAAATGTAAATGGTTGTCTGAGGCAATATGATTGATGAGAACCCAGACAATTTTTTTTTTGTTTTGCCTTGTTTTTTGTCATTTTTTCCCTCTTTTTTTATGGCCACCTCTTTTGAGTCTCTTGCAGTGCAGCTTTAACCTGAGATCCATTGAGGATCCCTAAATGGACCTGATTCACCAATCTATTTAAAGCTCCCAGTTACCATCAGGCATCATAGGAGACCTATGGAAAATAAGCAACCCCCTGCCACTGGTTAAACTAAGCGTTAAAGAGTGTCCTAATGAAATCAGTACAAATCAGTACAGGATACTTGATTTTACCTCATGCATGATTTAAGAAGATTATAACTCTTCCCCCTCTGACTGGTGGAAGTTGCACTGTTTTGGTTTGCCCTTCACTGCTGTGAGGAAGCACATCACCTAAGTTCTGGGCCAGCTCTCATCTCGAGGTCTCATCTTCAATTCTTTCATTATGGTGCATTTGTCTAGTCCACCTAAACATCTCTGAAAAGGGAAATGAGACACGGGTGGCCATCCAGTGGATCAAAATAAGTGGGTTTGAGCTGGAGAGTGCTGCTGCTGAGAGTTTATGGCTATTTTAGAAGTGTAGTAAGATCAAAGTCATTGTCTTATTTAAGGAAAATCTCTGTTCCCTACTAATACACAGTTCTGCATGAAAAGTCTATGTGTCTAGCTTTGTGAAAAAATTAGTGAATTTTTCTGATATTTTAACATCTGGGCAGAATCTTTATTTCATCCTCCCAACACCCTCTAGGAAGGTTATTTCCATCACATAAAATGAGTCATTTATCTCTGGAGTCACCTTAAGAACAAAAATCATTATCAGCACGTTGACTGTAAGGTCTGCAGATAACTAAAAATATTTTAAGATATATTTATGATGCCTTTACTCAGATGACATTTTCACTTAGAAGACTCAGATTTATATGAAAATAATGATGGTAAAACAGATCGTTCAATGTCACAATATTAATCAAAG